AGTGATACCTGTCTGAGAGCTCTGACAGTATCAGACCTGTGTGTGGTGGTGCCTAGCCGTGTTCTCAGAGAAACTATGCAGCAGCCATTGCTTTCTGTAGAAAACTGTCAAGTTTTGATTATCCAACCAGAATAATTGGAGAGAATTGTTTTGTGAGCTTGGTTTGATTACTGGCAGTCATATGCCCTGCATAATAAAGCTAATCTATTAATAGGTGTTAGAGACCTGTGAGGAGAAACTCAAACTAAATTATCAATGTGCCTTGAAAGTGAGAGTCATAGAATTAAGTCTTTCACCAAAGCTGTTTGGGATCAAGGTAATATGTGTCTTTTTGTTAGATGTTTAGAATGCTGACAGGGAGAAAGGACAGGAGTTTTCTATTCAAGAGGAAGAGGAAATGAGGAAAAAAGTGAATTGCATGAGCCAGGCAATGTATAGGAAGCAAGTGACATCCTCTTAAAGCCTAGGATTTGCACTTGTTGTGAGGTATAGGTGTGACTTTATTATTTTTAGCACTAGCACTTTATCCATGTAAAGTGTATGAAATCCACAGAAAGATAAAGATTCATACTCAGTAGTATTTCCAGGAGTAACTGCTTCAAGAATTAATACCTTGTTTTGTGCAGTGTGCTGTAATGCAGTTAGCTTTTGTATCACGGCTTGCTGCTATTTCAAAATGCACATGGCAGTCCTTTCGCTGTGCTTCAGAGAGACATTGCCAGCCACTGGCAACTTCTTGCATGCCTGACTTAAATGGAAGCATCCTGCATGTAGGACCTCTCTTAGCCTCAGATTTTCCAGAGCTGAAGCCTTATCTCCTTCTGTGATAGTAGGAACATGTAAGCCCCAGCACTGACTGTTCAGTGTCTGCAACCTGAAGTCATAAGGTATGCGAGTTGAACCTCAGTCTTTGTGGTGTAAATGTCCTGAAACTGCAAAAATAACAGCGTGAGGATGCTTTTTGCATTGTAGATGTAGCAGCATAGTTTTGCAGACCATCAGCACATAGGCTTTCTGGTGTGTAATGTGTTTTCTTGACTTAAAAGCGACATCCCGCCTGGCAGTGCTTGTTTATAACAATGAGGAAAAAATTGTGCTTAGTTTAGTTTGGCTCAAGCAAAGCTATGAAAAAGGAAGAGGAGAAACATCTGCAACTGTTACAGCATGTTTGAATTTAAATAAAACCAGATAAGAGCAAGGGGCAGGCAGCTTTCTTCTTTAAATAAAAGGAAAAAAACTCACAATCAATAAACCAAATTTTAAGGGGGCAAGTGTGTGGTTTTTTAAGGTGCATTAGTATTATAAGAGAACACTGAAAGGAATGAAAATAGCCATTTCAGAGGAGTTGTAGAAATTATTGTGCTGAGGTTTGGTTTTTTTTTCCCCCCCTTTGAGTAAGACACTGCCAAGCTGCTAGCACAGTCAAAAGCTGTTGTTCATGGCTCTCTGCTGGGAAGGAGGTTAATTAGTATAGGCTGTGCAGAATTCTGCTGCAGACCCGCAGTTGGGAGGACGCTGCTGGGGCGATTGATGGATGTGGGTGCTGCCTGGGGAACGGTGGCAAGTCAAGTTTAAAAGTCCAAGGCTCCGCCCGCGCCCTTTCCCCTACTTTGCTGGCGAGCACGTGGCAGCGCAGGAATGCGGCGAGGGGAAGTGTACCGCGGTGTAGGATTAAATCGGCCTTGAAGGAGGAAAACAAGTGTTCAAAGAGGCGGGCTGAGGGAAGCCTTTGGTGTTCCGCCATCATAATTCAGGGCAGTTTTAAAGGCTTATGGTTTTTAAAGTGAAGGGAAAGAATATGAAAGGAAACAAGCTGCTTTATTGTTTCACGTCTTAACGTCAAGCAATGCAGTCCTAGAACTGCGCTGTATTTGTTTTCAGGGCTGGCTTGCTTTATTCAGGATTAATTCTTGCTGGATTATTTTTTTCCTTTGGGAATAAGGAATATTTTCCTTAATTAAGCTTTTTTTTATTTTTATGAGAATGCTAAATTTTAATTCATTAACATGTCAGGTTGACTGTTAATGCTTGACGCTATTTAGAATATTTTTCTGCCTTGGGCAGTAAAAAAAGCATGTGCTTAAAAATGAAAGGGTTCCTGAAATTCTTTCCATTCATTAACAAAGAAGGTTAATTACAAATTTCCAGGCTGAGAAGTCACAGAGGAGTTGAAGGGTAAGGGAAACCAGCTGATCTTGTACTTCAGACACTGGCATTCCAGAATACAAAATTCCAGGAGTGAACTGAGCAGAACCTGTTGGCCCTTCTTGAGACAAATCCAGGCGCCTGATTCTCTGTATGCAACTACGGTTGAGTTCTTTGTATGTGTTTGTTGGGGTTTTATCATCCCACCCTTAATAGTGCCACTAAACATATGATAAATTCTTAACTTCGAAAGCTTTTGCAAACCCTGTTGAGTTCAGGTTATACCCTGTATCACTGCTGCCTCTCCCTGCGTTATTGCTCTCTTGTCAGCTGGTGATGACCAATTTATGAATGAGTGGACAGCTGACTTTGACTTCCTCGTACTTGCCTGCAGCAGAGCCCATGTAAGCAGTTGTTAGTGACAGAGTCATTAAGTACTACAAATTGCAGTTGTTCCTCGGCACACAGGGCTTGTGCTAAAGCTTTTGAAACTGGTGTTCAAAGCTGGTTTGTTTCTTCTAATTTGCTCTTCTTTGTTATTCTAATCAGACACTACACGCACATAAATCAATTGCTTACTATCTGTAGGATACTGTGAGCTTTAGGTGCCTTGATTCACCCAGCTTCTAAAACCCGAGCAGTGGCTGATGGATTTGCGAGATCTGTGAATTACCATCAGGCGCTGTAGCAGTAGTTGTATGGCAGAGGTGGATCACTGCGGGCTGGTCCACGAACAGGCACGATAAATACTGCAAAGAATCCATGCCTGTTGGTCAGCAGCCTTAATAGATGATGTGCACTTACCTCATTCATCTCTGCTGAGTATTCCTTCTCTTTCTATATTGTGTATTTTTTCCTAAGCCTACTGTAATTGCTGCATTCCAAGTGCCTGGTTGTCTGCTCGTACATCTTGGCACCCATTCTTTGTGTTTCGGATAACTTTGGTTGAGTAGAGTATTTACAGACTAGAGGAGCAGCACTCTGGTCGTAATGAACTGCTTTTGAAATGCCCACCTAAATTGCACCGGTTAGTCCTCACAGGCTGTTCATCAGGTTATGAGATTCTACCAGAATTTAATTACTACTTCAGGTTTGCAAACAAAATGTGAATTTTAGCTTTTAGGATTTAAAAAGGATAAAGTAGTTGTACTTTTTTTATTCTGTTTACATAGAAATACCAGTGCAACCTTAAAACACTTGGTATTGATAATGTGTTTTGTACCAATCTCAATCTAAAACTTGCCCATGAATCCTGACCTACACATGGGGCAATAAGTTCCACTACTATTTAGTCATACTTCTAGGAGGATATTGTTTTTGGGGCTATGCATGAAAGTTTTTTAAACTTATAAATTAGGCTGGACAAGAGACCAGCTTTGGAATCATGATGATCTCCTCAGGAATACACAGTTTTGACCATTTCAATGTTATACATAGAGTCTGTCTGCAAAAATCTACTTTCTAATTGTAAGTGCTTAAAAAACATTTGTCTGAATCAATAATTAGTAGGAGTGACTTCCAGGGTGTTTATGTATAAATGCTTGTTATAGAAACTAAGAAAAGCTACGGAATTACCCACAAGTTTAACAAGGGCAAGTACCAGATTTTGCATTTGTGTTGGGGCAACCCTGGTTGTGTGTACAGATTAGGAAATGAGAGGGTGTAGAGCAGTGCTGCAGGAAAGGGCCCTGGGGGTCCTGTTTATGGGAAGTTGGATCTGACTCAGCAGGGCCCTGGCAGCCAGGAGGGCCAACCCTGTCCTGGGGGCATCAGGGACAGCCTGGCAAGGGAGGGGATTGTCCCACTCTGCTCTGCACTGGAGCAGCCTCATCTCCAGTGCTGGGGGCAGTTTTGGGTGCCACAATATAAAAATGACATGAAGCTATCAGAGAGTGTCCAAAGGAGGGCCATGGGGATGGTGAAGGGCCTTGAGGGGAAGCCGTGCCAGGAGCAGCTGAGGTCACTTGGTCTGTTCAGCCTGGAGAACAGGAGATTGAGGGGAGACCTCATTGCAATTACAACTTCCTGGTGAGGGAAGGAGGAGAAGCAGGTACAGGTCTCTTCTCTCTGGTGACCAGTGACAGAACACGAGGGAATGGCCTGAAGCTCTGTTGGGGAGGTTTGGGTTAGATATTTGGAAAAGGTTTTTCACCGGAGGATGATTGAGCACTGGAAGGGAGTCCCAAAGGAGGTGGTTGCAGCCCCAGATCTGACAGAATTCAAGAGGTGTTTGCACATCACTCTCAGGCACATGGTGGGGTTCTTGGGGCTACATTGGGTTTACATTTCTGTTTAAACTTCAGGTGGTTTTGGTTTGAGTCTTTTGTGGCTGCCCGATATAATTGTCTTCTGTCTATATTGGCATGGTTGTTGATATTTGTTTGGGCAGTTAAGCTGAGCTGCAATTCCATGAAATTTCATTATGGTTTCAGATTTCTTTGGGGAGGTAATTTTTCTGACAGTTGTGATTTGGTTTCCTCAACTCTGCATAGTTTTGATTTTTGCAGTTATTTGTCGGTCACAGCACAGAGCCACAGGGACTATAGTCTCTTATTGCTTTGAGTAATCATCTTGAAATTAGGATATGAAAAAAATGTTGGGAGAAGATGTGGCAGCTTTGTTTCTCTAGCTGAGGTGAAAACTTTAGATACCTTTTGTTTCAAATAAAACATTTTCTTAATGTTCTTTGAAATGCAAGATGCTCTGTACCTGTGATATGCTTTTTCTCTGTGTTTCAGCTTTCACTTTCTGTTCTGCTCTGATTTTTTTATGTATTGCCTGGATAGGTGATATGCAGCTATCTGTGATGCTGCCAAAATGCCCGAGTTACACAATTGTTTTGTTTCCATTTGCAGCTGCTTTGGTTAAAAAAGGTGCCTTAAATTAACCTTCAGGACACTCAGACTGAAGTGCAAGCAGAGCCTGTAAGGAAAAGGCAAGTACTATATGTAAATTTTTTCATACTTGGAAATCTTTGCCAAAATCAAAGTGTAGAAAATATCTTGCTGGAAATGGACTAGGTCCTAGTTCCTCTGAACAAGAAGGCAATACTCTTTCTAAACTTTGTTTTTTGACAGAACTCGCTCTGAAAATGGCGGAAGCTCACCAGGCAGTAGCTTTTCAGTTTACAGTAACTCCAGATGGGATTGACCTGCGTATGAGCCATGAGGCACTCAAACAGATTTACCTGTCTGGTGTCTATTCATGGAAGAAGAAGTTCATCAGATTCAAGGTATGCTAAACTAGTGCTGTCCACCAAACTTATGGGTTATTTAATGTTTCATGAATTTATTGAAGTTTTTTTAGGGAAAACTGATTTTTTTTTCCTTTATGGTAAATAAGGTTTTTCGTTGTGAAAGACTTAGGGGTTTTATTTAAGACAAGGGGTGCTGAGGAAGGTGGCATAAGGTGATACTGTAAAGACTGAAAGGGTACATATTTTTTATTTATTCTATGGAAGCAAGATGAAGGAGATGTAGAAATTAACGGACTTCATTCTTCCTAATGCACCATGTAATAATGTAATCTTTTAGAAGAAGTCGGAAGTACAACCAGTTGTGATCTTTAGTGTCATATGTCTTAGAGGTACAAGGCTACACTCTTATTATAGCTAAGTAGTATTGTTTCTGATGAGTATTTGATAAAGATTGTTTTGTTCATGGGATTATAATTGTAAATATCTGTTTCATTAGTAGCTTTCTACATAAACTAGAGGTTATCTTCAACATTTCTTTCAAAACTATAAACATATGAACAGAATTCTTATTAAAATTTTCTTATAAAGCCATGAGAAGAACTGTTTAAATTGTATAAAAAAGTTAATTCTGGTTCTCAGTGTCTTGTTCAGTAGGATATTTTTGCCATGTATTCATGTAGGAGGGTCTAACTCAGTTTAAGTTGAAATTATCAAAGTGTCATTTGTTTTAGAGTTGTTAGTTAGTTTCAGTGTTTTTAGTAAGACTTGCAGCAGCAGGATCAGTGGTGTCTACAAGAGAATGTAAAAAGTTCCTTTCATTGTTGATATTATTGTTACAATTTTCTGTAGTAATCAAACATAAGTAAATCCATTCCCTACTGCTGAGATAATCTCATGTAAGAAAACGTTGGATAATCTTAACTACTTGTTTATAACTAAATGACTTAAATGTGTTGATTTTTGTTTCATTCCATGGTTATATGAAGTCAGTCACTTTGGTATGAAAAAATTATGTGAAGGCTTTTCTTTCCAGAATGGAATTATCACCGGTGTTTACCCTGCTAGCCCATCTAGCTGGCTTATTGTAGTTGTGGGTGTGATGTCAACCATGTATGCTAAAATTGATCCTTCCTTAGGGATAATAGCCAAGATCAACCGAACACTTGATACAACGTAAGTAGACTGAAATGTTAATGTTTCTCTAAAGGGAAATCAGTTTTATTTGCAGCTGCTCTTAAAGCTATTTCTGTTAAAATGTATCCATTTTGGAACAGTACATTTGTGACACCATAAGCCAAATAAAGAGCTGTATTATGAGGATATGAAATAGAGAGGTTGTACAAGTATTGCTGCAAAGTTCTGGGTATTTGGGAGGCACATTTGGGAACTTTTGTGGCCTTTGATGTTGCTGCATGAAAAGCTCTTTGGAAAGGAATTTATGAAAGCAGGGTGAGCAGGCATAAATCTTGTGTAAGGCCTGTCCGTACTATTAGATTTTTGTTTCTTATACCAGCTTCTCTTTGGAACTTAAATGGACACTAACTGGCATATGTTGGTTTTTGTTTTAAATAGTGGCTATATGTCAAACCAAACACAGAACATTGTGAGTGGAGTACTTTTTGGCACAGGGCTTTGGGTTGCCCTTATCGTCACAATGCGCTACTCCCTGAAAATGCTGCTCTCCTACCATGGTTGGATGTTCGCTGAACATGGCAAGCTTAGTGCTGGCACCAAGTTTTGGATGGTAAGGATGTGTTGGCTTCATTTCATCTTAACTTCTAACTGATCAGTATTCAAAGCCTTAAAAAAAAAAATTGTAGTTTTATTTCTTTCTTTTGTTTTTTGTGTCATGGGACAGGAGGCTGTTAGGTAGCTATTTCTACTGCCACCCTTCTAATGCTGTAATGAAACTAATCATCATGGCCTTCTAGAAGGAAGGGTAAACACTTCAAGAGTAACTTCTGAATTGTCCAACACCTTGGGCCTGTGTGACTCAATACCTGCTTTTTCTCTATGTGCAAGTACAGTTAAAGATCTTTGTCTGCAGCACCAAAGAATCTTGTCCTCACAGAAAGTGCTCCCCTAATTCTTTGTTGTAATCCTTGTTAGGATTCCTTTGATAGAGTCATCCATTATAAAATTATAAATAGTCATCCATTATAAAGTTATTCTTCTGCTTAAAGAAAATATTGCTGAGTGTTCTTTGAACCCATTTATTGGCATGCCTCCAGAATGAGTTGGGGAAGGAGCGTAAGGTGTAGGTAGCGTGTTATGCAGTTTTCAGGTAAGGATAAGGTGAGAGTGGTATGTCTCCTGTGGATTGTTGTGGTGCTTTGGAAAAGGATTCTTAAAGGATATGATGGGTATAAAGTGAGGAAACGTAGATGTTGGTGCTGCAAGAGATGAAGTGAGGTTTTGCTGTTTGGACTCGGTTCTTTCATCTCACTTTTGCCTGTATTGTGGTAGAAATAGCTCAGTTTCTGTACTGTGATAAATTAGTCTCTGCAGCCTCAAAAAATTAACAGATGTGTGTCAAACTAAGCACAGGTCATGATTTACTATGGAAGCTATTCAAGGATAGGTATCCAGAATGGTGTACACTAAAATAGAGTTTAATGTTTGTCTGGTACAAGTGAAATTTCTAATTGATGGTTTCTCCTGGAAGCAGTAGCAGCCTCATGACCCAAACTGGTACAGTGCAGAGGCTCTGAATGGTAAGGCTTTCTGTCAATTGCTTGGAGCTGTAGCTGCCTTGGTTTTCAGCATGTCCTACCAGATAGATTCTTCAAAGCTCTTAATATTGCCTTATCAACCTTAAATCAGTATGAACTGTAATGCTACTTACCATGCTTTGGTGCATATTGTATTTATCAATTTTTTCTACCATATATGTTGCATATGTATTTTGTTGTGTATTGTATGTGTTTTTAAAGTACAGAACACTGCAGGTGTATGCCCAACAGTGTCTCATCTATGAAGGTCTATTTAATTAGACCCAGCAAAACTAGTGAAACAGCTCCAACTACCCTTTCTAGATGTTTATAATACTGTTTTCTCTTCAAATGATCATGCAGATCAAAAACCTGAGCTCTAATTTCAGTCACAGTACAAAGTGATTTTTCAGACTGTTTGGAAGTCTGGTGGCACTTTTAATCAGCATATTTCACCTTGTAAAATCAAAATTCCTGTATCAGTGTTAGGGGAAAATCCAAATATTTGTTGCCATTTTAAAAAATAAATGAAAAAGTGTTAATTTTATGTGAAGAGATGCAACATATGTTAGAATGACATTATTTGCTGTGTCTGCATATGAAGTCAGTGATGTAATGCAATGTGTGTGTCTGTCAGAGCACTTTATTGGTCTCAAACTAGTATAAATTCTCTATTATAAGTTTTCTTTAGAGATAAGTACTGTGAAATGTGTTTGCTGGTTTTTGTCAGTTGAGCGGGTACTCTCTTAAAATAATTTTAGCCTTTTCTGGCTTAAGAATTTTGGAATAAAATTGTCTCCAAGTATGAAATTAGATTTCCATATGAGCTTTCTCTTTCCCACCTGTTTCCAAAATTATTTTGTCCTGAAGCACAGCTGGATTTCACCGGCAGCCCACTGTGGTGCATCCCATGTACATCTGATGGCTGTGATACAGATCCATGTGCAGGGAGGTCTTTGTTGCTGGTAATACTCTGCAATTGTTAGTTGTTTTGTGCTGCCTGAAACTGTCTCCACTAGCTGTGCTGACCCAGGAAGCTGAGAGGGAGGAAAAGCTCTACATTCTAACAGTTTTGTTAGAAGTTTTCAGAATTTAGTTGTGAAATAATGTCCTCTCTTTTATTCTATCTTGTCTGGTGGCTTATATATACTACCCTGTGTATTGGACCAAGATTACACTTTGACAGTAAAAGTTCCACTGGGTTGTTGGAAAGTCAAGTCACTTCACTTGACTTTCGTGCTGAAATAAGGTGACAGTGTCAAAATCCTTTCATGAGTAGCCTAGTGGTTGCATGGCCTAGAACTTCGGCTCAGTGTGTGCTGCAACTGAGAAGTAGCGGTGGGCAGAAAAGCTGCTTCTGTTTTCACTCCTGTGCTCACAGGAGATTCTGCAACATCTGCAGCTAAGTTCTCTCTGGCGTTTTTGTTTTGTTGCTGGGGGGTTTTTTTGTAACACAAGCACTGAGTGTAACACTGGCATGCTTGCACAATTTGGTGTGTTCAAATCATGCAGTAGACTACCTGAGATTGATTCATGCTTGAATTAACTCCCTGTAACATCGATCCTATTATTGATGTCGAGCTGTAACTTTGGAAAACATTAAACCATGATACAAAAGCATAATTATTATTTTGAAAGATTACTGTAGTTATCTAGAAACCTTAGCTGAGTCACAGGCTTGATAATGATTGTGTTTTGAAGCACAATTTAGATATGTTTCTTGTATCTACTGTGTAATACAGTAAATGGTCAGCGGGTAGACGTGAGTTTTTTAATCTTTCCAGAGGGGAATGTATGAAGAAAAGAAGTGCTAAGTAACTGTATTTATATTGAAATCAAGGTGTGCCCTACATAAACAGTAATATTGTCTGAGAGAGGATGATACTGGGAAGTCAGGAATGACCATGCCTGTCTTGCTTTTCCACTGCCATGTTGTGTAACCTTTAGGAAGTTAGTTTCTGTCAAGGCCTTTTCTCACATGTGAAACTGTGATGAATGGGGTAGCTTCCTAAATCTAGTACAGTACAATTCACCAGTGAAAAGGACAATGAGTTACATTACACATTTACTCTGTCATTTTTCTTCCATTGAGCCTAATAATTTGGTGTGTGTATTTTGGTTTTTTTTGCTTTTCTCCAGACCCTTGTAAAACTTTTCTCAGGGCGTAAACCCATGTTATACAGTTTCCAGACATCTTTACCACGATTGCCAGTTCCAGCTGTTAAAGACACAGTCAATAGGGTATGTACCTTCACCAGTTCATTTTCTTCAGTAACACAGGATCCATACCATGCCTTTTGGGGTGTTTTTGCCATGCCTCATGAAAAACTGCATTGTGGGTGTTAATATGGTGTAACAGATTCAAACGTTTGCATGGAAATTAAAATAAAGGCTGTGACAAACCAGTGACACTGGTGGCGGTTTGAAGCCAGTGTGATTCACATTGGATGGCATCATGCCTGTTGTAAGGCTGTGCCGCAAGGTGTGATTTCCAGGGTGTTTGAAGCACACTTTTGTTATCCTCCCCAGTTGTACAGTGTTATGAAATGTGTGTGTTGTAACACAAAACCTTGTAGCAAAGTGGGTAAATATGGCAGTATGTCACAGAAACTGAAGGTTTGATTTTTAGAGGAGAAAAAAAAAAATCTCTCTGCTACTGAAGAAACAGCATGCCTTACCCTTTGGAGTGGAAAATATTTAGAAAAGTTACCTCTTCCACTTGTGTTTTGCTCACAAACGTCTGAAAAAATATTTTATTTTTTGAAGTTTGCAGCAGACGTTTAGAAGAGCATATACTCTTATTTTAAAAACATGGTATTTGCAGCCTTATGGATTGAGACTGGATAATCTTTATTTAATGTTAAAGTGCTTTATGTAGGAATGGTGAGAAGCTACGTATTAGTTACTGTACTGATGCTAATTCTTTTTTTGTGTCCTAGTATCTGGAGTCAGTTCGACCACTTATGGATGATGAAAAGTTCAAAAGAATGGAGGGTCTTGCCAAAGATTTTGCTTTTAATTTGGGACCAAGACTTCAGTGGTATTTGAAGCTAAAATCCTGGTGGGCCACCAATTATGTAAGTAGATAAATAGGAGGCTCAGTTGTTCATATTACATTATTTGTTCCCTGGTCCTCTTTTTTGCTTAAACTGCATTCTTTCTTAAATGTAAAAGAAGGAAATTGAAACTGCTTAATATTTTATTAAAGTACATGTGACTTTGCATGTAAATAATTTGTGTGATTTGGTAAACAGTATGGCAAGCAAAGGTGAATGAAACTTGAAAAAATGAATCCTTATTTTGCGTTTTGTTATTCTGGAGAATTTTACTGTTAGGATTGCTTTTGGGGTTTGTTTATTTGCTTGTTGAGCTTGATAACTCAATAATGGGCCTGGCTGCCCATGTAGTTTAGAAGAATGATTTAGAACAGTTTTTTTAATATATAGCAGCTGAGGCAAATATAAGAAAATTAAAGAACTGTATCTAACTGAGTTGGTGAGCTGTCTTTTCTTTTTTTTGGTACCAAAAAAAAAAATCCAGCCCTCAACATCATAGTGAGAATTGTAATGTTAATTCCTTCCTGATGTATTATCTAACATACTTGTACCCAGGTAGCCTAACCTGTCCTAGCAAAGGCTGTAAAGCATTCAGGAGATCTGATACATTTTAAATATTATGGGGAGATCATGACTTCTTTGAAACCTTATCAGAGAGATATAGCTGAATTTGATTTAGTTTTCTCGCCCTTTTTTCCCTGTTTTCCCTGAAGTCTGATAGAAATTAGCAGGGTGGGGATTATTGTCTTTTTAAGTGCTAGCAGTTTCCTTCCCACTTCTGGATGGAATGTTGTCTGGTGGAGCCATCAACATAGAGGACATAAACTGTGGAAATGATGAGATTTTACTGCTTCGCTTTTTCCTTCCTGCTGCAGGTTAGTGATTGGTGGGAAGAATATATCTACCTTAGAGGACGTGGACCAATCATGGTTAATAGCAACTATTTTGCAATGGTAGGTAAATCCCATAAATACCTTATGTTGCATAGAAACTGTAACATTTCTGGCAGGCATCTTACTTCATGGAGTCTTTCTGCTTAGAAATCTGTTGCCACTGAGGATGTAACCTTTGTTTTCCTTTCTTCTGGTATAACCTGCAGCCAGTGTCTTCAGGTGCCTTCAGGTGCGTCACATACCTGAAGTATGTGACATATAAGTACATGTACACATAAGTATGTGACACATACACCTATCTTAACAGCCCTAGCACAGCTGCCACTTTGGCAAACTCATGCAGTAATGACTTAAACAGTTTTGTCCTTACTGTAAAGAGCAATCTTCCAAAAGCTCCATGTAAAACTTAAAGGGTAACACAGCTGAAGGAGGCGTGTGGTCATACTAGCAAATGTACATACAGGAGGTGAAATTGTAAAAGACTGAAAATAAAAAGGAAAAAAGAAATATGATGGTCTTGGATCAAGTTTTATGTAGCACTGTATTTTCTACTCATGTGATTAATAATGTTTAAGGAGATTGTGACTGCTGAAGAAAAGTTTCCTCAGCTCACTGCACTTGTGCACTTCATAAATTTTAAAGCCTTTTCTGCTTTATCCAGAATAAACATTTAAGTACGTGGATGAGAAGTACTATCAGGTTTGTTTTTTTTCTAATGTAGTCTGGTAATCATTAACTTATGATTCTTATCTGCTTTACAGGACTTCCTTTCTTTATATCCCACAACCCTGCAGGCAGCTAGAGCTGGTAATGTTATCCATGCCATCCTGCTCTATCGGAAAAAACTGGACAGACAAGAAATCAAGCCAGTATGTATATCAGTTTAAATGGCTTTTGATCTTTTTGCAGCACAATCTGCGAGAGAAGCTGACCAGTTTTCAGAATGGGAGAGGAGAGGAATGTCTTATTGTTACGAATTTTTGTGGTCCAAATCATCTCGGCTATCACTTGAATTGCACATGGGCAGAAACTAGCAACTCAAAAATACAGAATTGTATGGATACAGTACAGGATGGTTGGAATAAAGGTCTGGAGGCCACCAAGAGTGGGGCAGTGGGAGGTTAAGATGATGGTAACATCCTGTGTTGCACTAATTTCTAGGTAGCAAAGATAGGCATATCCCATTTGAGTTCCTGTACTATCCAATGGCTGTGTATTGTAGTAAACAACGACTGTGGAAACAATTAAGTAGTTTTTTTCAAGACCATTGAAGGGATGTAATTAATTGTATGAAACTACAAATCTGAGAAGTGTGAACTTTTGTTCCTACACAGCCATAAATAGCTTAAAAGAGGGAATTAAGGGGTAATGCATGCTGCATGTGTTAAGTTTTGCATCCAGACCACCCATGGAGAACTCTTTGAATTTCAGGTGCTAGCTAGCTTCAGTCTTCCCTCATGGAGGGTGAGTTTTTGGTAGAAGGGGAAAAAATAATGGCTCTGGAATTTCCATGGAATATTCCACTTGTAGTTTAAGGAAAAACCATGAATGGGGAGGAAAAAACTCAACACTGCATTAATGTGTTACAAATCTTACTCTTCTGAAGCCTTTGTTTAACCAGATCTTGGGGTTTTTTCTTTACTTTTTAATTTTGTAATTGTATATGCAAAATGACATTTTAATGTATGTTTGCTTCACAGATTCTTTTGATGGGATCCACTGTTCCACTCTGCTCAGCTCAGTGGGAAAGAATGTTTAATACTTCCCGTGTCCCAGGAGAGGAATCAGGTAGGCAAGGCCACCCAAGGAGAAAAAGCACCTTGATGGAATTCAGGGCTTGGTGTCTTTTCGCTAAAAATCTGGTTTTCCAGATAAAGATCTGACTGGCACAAGTGTATATCAATACTGTGTTCCAGACTGAGGTTGTAATGGATTGTTGTAGAGTTCCTAGATGTTTTTCATTTTGGGGAGATTTTGAATCTTTTTTTAGTGATTTTTCTCCTTTACTTAAATTAAAAAACCAACTTCAAGATAATATTGTCTGTCCTGTTTTTGAGTTTGTAAATAATCTTTACTTTTATTTTTCCAAGATCAAGATGATTTTTGAGGTATTAAAAGTGGCATTTTTTTGTTGCCTAAGTTTTTGTTTTTCCTAAGTTTTGTCACTGTAAGTGGAGTCAGATTATATCTAGAAGGACTTACCATTTGTAATCAGCAGGTGGAAAAATACATTGGAAATATTCATTTCCTTTCTCTTTGAGAGCTTCACAGCCGATTTTAGTGGAGACTTGTGCTGGTGTGTTTTTCTACAAAAGCTTAAGCTGTATCTAGGCTTCTCTGATCGTGTCATATGCTGAAAAGCCTCTTAGAACTGATTCCACCTGCTTACCCAACAGTGCATCCTCGTGGCAGCATCACAGTGAAATACAAGCGGGAGTTATTGTTTAGTCACCTCCACTGGGAATGCACTATGGGCTGCCACTTGAAAACAGGATGGGTTTTTTTACTTTCTGTGGGGCCTGTAACTCACTCTGATGTTTCAAACTGCCTTCAGACTTGTTACTCCCACTCAACTACAGAATTCAAAACAAAGAGTTTCTAAACAGATGCGGGGATCTGCCCACTCTTCCCTGCTGGAGGCTGACATTTGCTGTAAGAAGTTGGATAAGGGGGAGAAGTGGCATTGGGTAGTGGATAAAGCAGTAGGTGCACGTGTCAGATAAGGACTTTGCTCTCAGTTCTGCTGCTGGCCTTTGCTAGATTGTTGTGGATTTTTTTTTCAAGCTATGCCTCAGACAGCTTTATCTGCAAACTGAAGGAAAGGACATCCCTGGTGTCATTACTCTGTGTCATAACCACTAGCTTAAGTAGACAAGCGGGTTTTTAAATCTCTCTTGGACAACTTTAGTCTATGAGCTACTATTATTTAGAATACTGCAATACTTCAAGTGCTAAGAGTGCAACCCTTGCCCTTTCCATGTTATAAAAGGTATAAATAAAATAAAAGGTATAAACAGTTTACATTCAGCATTGGTTTTCTTTCAGTCTAAAATGAGTTTTGCACAGACGTGTAGAACTGGCTCATTCTAACTAGCACCTGATTAAAATACATCCTGTATATCTTAGTGGTTCTCCTCAGTTTCTCCTGTTTAAAGTCTTTCAAATTAAACTACAGTCAATATAATAATCACTGTATTTTTCTCCTAGGCTTTTCACATTTCCTATCATACTTTTTCCATTTTGCTTTGTTTCTGTTTTTGTAAAGGAAAAACAGTTGTGTCATTTGTATATGTCTTCTCTAAAGGAAAAACAGTTGTGTCATTTGTATATGTCTAAGTGAGTTCCAAAAACATTTTTCACACGTTCTCATGAGCAGCTTGACTCCTTGTCTCCTGATTTCAATTACTTTATGTATATTACAGTTTCTAAAGAAAAAAAAAAAGAAAAAATAGTCTTCATTAATTGGTGATAAAATCTTGATGAACATTGTATCCTGTCACTTGAGCAGTTGTTAAATAGTCATGATTTTTGACAAAACATGCTATGAAGTGAACAGCTTCACCTGTGGCTTGATACAATGCCTTCTTGACTAAATTTAGGCTTATCCCAGTTAAGCCAAACAGACAGTAAAATGAGGGGAAAAATGTGGCCTAGTTTTCTGCTTGACATAACATTACACATTTTGGCCGTATATGGAATATTCACTCTGCATCTGCCAGGACAAATGTAAACAAAAGCTGATGGTATAAATTCTGAGTTTCTTGAGACTCTGCATGAATTGTCCAGGATCTGAGTGCAAATGATTTAAAAATACCTTTCCTGATATTCATCTAGCAGGTTCTTTTCTGACTGCTTCACCAGGCTACGCAACTAGTGCTCGTTTTTCAGACACAGAAATATAGATTTAGTTGCTTAATAGTGGCCTCCAATGTGGAAACTGGTGGTGATATATGTGGAAATGATTGTCAGATCTGGGTATTTGACTGTTCCACGTGAGCATCTTTGTGATGAAATAACTTGTAGTGCATGCAATAGGCATCTGATGTTATTTAGTGCATTAGTGTTTTGAGACTTCAGCTTTGTGTTGACGTAAGTGATTGCAATTCTAGATACCCTCCAGCATGTGAAAGACAGCAAACACATTGTTGTGTATCACAAGGGCCGATACTTCAAAGTGTGGCTGTACCACGATGGCAGATTGTTGAGACCCCGAGAAATTGAACAGCAAATACAGAGAATTCTTGAGGATGATTCAGAACCTCAGCCAGGTGAAGAGAAACTTGCAGCTCTTACTGCAGGAGATAGGTATGGAGGTTATTACTTTTTAAATAAGTTTAGTATTTAGAAATCATTGCATAACATAATCATTGAATATTGGCTTTAGATTTTTTTTATAGTCTGCAGTCAATTTTTTATACCTTGGTCACTGATTTTGTGTAATTTTGATGTGTAACAGTGCTTAAGTCACTTGTAATTGTGTGGAGTTAAAAAAATTTTGCAGTGGCAATCCTATATGCAGATTATTATTTTTACTGTTGTCTTCTTCCTTATAATAGACACTTTCTTTGATTTAGTTTTAAGTGAAGATGATCAATGCTGTAGTATTGCATGTGCAGAAATGTTGAATTTCTGAGGATGAAGTTTTGCATGTGTGTGATGATGTGTTGAGTTGATTCCTAGGATTCCACTGTACCAGTATTGTCAGAGCTTTTCACAGCTCTCATAGTTTAAATGCAAAGAAAGTAGTTGTATCAAATTCCACAGAAGTAGGGGGAATGTCTCATAGTGATTTTAAAGGTAATCAAACATTGACAAATTTATGTAATCTGGCTACCAACCAATTTTATTTTTTTTTTTTTCTCTCCAGAGTACCATGGGCTAAGGCTCGTCAGGCTTATTTTAGCCGTGGAAAGAACAAGCAGTCCTTAGATGCTGTTGAAAAAGCAGCATTTTTTGTGACATTGGATGACATGGAGCAGGGGTACAAGAAGGAGGACCCAGTGAGGTCCCTGGATGCATATGCAAAGTCATTGATACACGGCAGATGTTATGACAGGTGCAGTACTGATGCTGTGGAAAATGCCTTCCTTTTTTTTGGAATTTGGCCAATACATACGGATTAATGATGACTTTTAAGTTGATAAATTCCATAGAATCACAGGAGGGTTTGGGTTAGTAGGGACCTTCATCTAGTTCCAACCCCCTCTGCAACAGAAAGGGACAGTTCTCAGTACATCAGATTGCTCAAAGCCCAGTACAGCCTGACCTTGAACATTGCAATGACCAGGCATCCACAACTTCTCTGGACAATCTGTTCCAGTGTCTCACCAGCCCACTGTAAAAAATACTTCTCCATTATAACACATCTAAATTTACCCTCTTTCAGTTTATATCTGTTGCCCCATGTCCTGTCACTATGAGCCATGATAAAAAGTCTTTCTCAGTTTTTCTTATAAGCTCTCTTTATATATTGAAGGGCTGCAAGAAGGTGTTCCCAGAGCCTTTTCCAGACTGAACAAGCCCAGCTCTCACCCTTTCTTCATGGGAGAAGTATTCCAGCACTCTTGCCATTTTCATGACTCTCCTCTGACCCAGCTAACAGTTCCATGTCCTTCTTGTGCTGAGAGCCCCAGGGCTGGACAGAGCTCTCTAGGTGGGATCTCACCACAGATCAAGAGCCAGAATCCCCTCCCTCACCTTTCTGGCCATGCTGCTTCTTAAGCAGCTCAGGACATGATTGGCTTTCTGGACTGCAAGTGCTGCTTGCCAGCTCATGATGAACTTTTCATCCCCAAGTCCTTCTCTGCAGAGCTGCCAAATCCATTCATCCATCAGTCTCTTGAACTGGGCATTGTCTTGACCCAGGTGCAGGGCCTTGTAGTTAGCCTTTTTGAAATTCCAAGGTTCAAATTTCTGTCTATTTATTTAAATGTTCTTATAAAAAAAAAAAAGGATAAGTTCTAGTGCATTTGAATGTGAATTTTAGAGAGAGAGGAAGTTACAATACAAAAGCACTTTTGAAATGTACAAAACCATAAAGAAATCTTGATTTCTTTTGTAGGTGGTTTGATAAGACATTCACTCTTGTAATATTCAAAAATGGCAGAATGGGTCTGAATGCAGAGCACTCCTGGGCAGATGCTCCTATTGTTGGACACCTGTGGGAGGTAGGTGTTTGGCACCAAGAGCTGGTGCAGAAGGTAATGTGACAGGGGCTTGAAGCAGCCCTGAAGGCCAGCAGCAACTCTCAATCCCTTGCATTCATGTTGCTGATGAGTGACCTGGGGCCTATGTCTACAGCAGCTGTAGAATTTGAAAAAGAGCCCAATCCCTCGCTGCTATTTTTTGAAGGACAGCATTTCAGTGAGCTTAGATGTCTTCACAGAAAAGTGATACAGCTCCCCAGCTACCTTTTCTTTAATGTTTTAAATCCACAGATCATTGCCTCCTTGGTATGGTATTGTATTTTTTGTATGTACATTCTCCTAAAGCTCTTAAGTTTTTTTGTGCTATAAAACTCCCATGCTTACTTGTAAAACTTAAAAAATTATACACAGTTTAACTTTTTGTCTAAGTATTGTTTGCTAAGATGCAGACTGATATGCTGTTGACATTATCTCTTGTATTTATTTGCAATGAAGGCAATAAATTCACTTTGCTTTGCATTCATCATATGCTTAGTTTAGCTCTTGAAATCCTAATTGATTTTTGTTTTCTTTTTTTCATTTTGAAGCTTAAACCTGCAAACAGTTACGGGACTCAGATCAATTAAAACTATTTCAGAGATGTTATTTAATTTTGATTTTGTATATATTTGTGCATATGGGTCTTGCATCAGACTGGCCCCCAAGTAATTTCTGAGTTTTGTTATAGAAATGTTTCCATCTGTATAAGAATAAAAAAAAAAAAAGCCTCATTGCATTCTCCACCCAGGGAAGAAAGAAGGACAAATGGATTTGAGAGTGACGTGGCAGTGCAGTGTAGACTATCTCAATGAAAGAGGGATACTTTTTTTGCTTTTAATGAATGATTTTATATGCTTAATTAATATATCTGTACTTAATATTAGTTGATACATTTTTCTGCTAAGAATTAAGATTACTGAAACAAGACTGAATTTTCTAGGAAGTTGTCTATTGTTAGCTCTTTACAGATTGTCTGTTTTTAGAATTGAATGGATTAAGCTTTATTTCATATTTGTCATGTTCTGGCCAGTAAGTGAAATGAGAAAATGAAGAGAAAATGAAATTAAAATAAGAGATTAGAAATAAATCATCAAGCTTTTTCTTTCCATATGGAGCAGATTCAAATCTTTTGGTAGTTCTTTGTTTTGTGTGTGGGTTTGTTGTTTCTTAAATTTTTTTTTAACATTGAGGATGCTTGATATCTTATAAGACAAGGCCTTTTATGGTTGTGTTTTTCATCTTGGAAACATTCTTCTTTCCCACCCAGGAGCTCTAGTGCACATGTGAAATAAACTGCAATTCTGAAAGAGATACAAATATTAAAAATAAATGAATTCTTGCAGGGATTTGCACTTACTCTGAAATAAATTATTCCTTGATGAGTAAGTTTTGACAAGTAACAAACTTGAAGAAATTCTCTAGAATCTAAATTGAACAAAGATGGTGAAGTCTGAGTTCAGTTTTTTGCTTCTACTTAGTTTGAGGTGGGTTTTGAATTGAAAAGTTTTTTATTAAATCAGTAGCATCTAACAAAAAGCACCCGTGTAATTGAATAAGTGTCTGGTGCACATCTGGTGTTCTTTTTGTAAAACTGGGGGCTTCACTTGCAGTTGTTTTCAGTATTTGGAAATGGATTGTATATTTTATTTCACTGTGTAGTGAAAATAGGTTATATTGCTTTCACAATGGCAGTAAGTGTTGCAATTCTGAAGAAGTGTCATTCTTTGCAGAATGTGATGGCAACTGAGTATCTTGAACTGGGCTATTCAGTAGATGGACATTGCAGAGGAGATCCCAATCCGAACATTCCCATTCCTACCAAACTGCAGTGGGAAATTCCAGAAGAAGTAAGTTCAGTAGATTTAGTGGTATGAGAGAGAAACATCTCTTTTCCCCAGTGGTCAAATAATGTATGTAATTATTGATAACCCTATAAATCAGTTCTAAATTCCTTTGAGTGCTGTAGGTTGTGTACTTCAGGTTGTAGCCATTACTGAGTTTGCTTAGAAAATCAGGGGGTTTTGATATCAATCTTTAAAAATTCTGACTGGGAAATGCCAGCATTTTACTAGAAGGTTTCTTTGTTGGCAATATGTCAAAAATAAGTGGCCATCTCTTTTAAATAGTGACTGTATTAAAATAACTGTTTACTGGCTGAGGCTTCGTTACTGTTGTCACAACAAATACTCTTGTCTAATAGTTCCTTTAGAATAGCTTTCTTTTTTTTTGTTCTTATAGTTTATCTAATAATATTTGATTTTTCTAAGTTGTTTTTTTTTGTCCGAGTTTCTAGAAGAACTGCCACCACCTATTTGGATTTTAATTTTGAACAAAAAGCTAATGGTTGGTGATTTATTTAATTAAGCATGTATGGGAGCTTGGAAGCCACACTGTTAAGGCCATTCTGTAAATGTAGGCCATTATTTTCTGTTCTTCTGATCTGAACAGTTTTAATGCTAGTGGGTTTTATAAGAGTTATTTTTGGAGGTGTACTGGCTTAAAACATTTTTATTAGCTTTTTTAATTTTAACTTTCTAGCAAAGATTGCTTCTTTCTCTAAAGGGAAATTATTTAGGTAATTATGTTCCTAGCATGCATAACAGCAAGCATTTCCTGTTTAACAGTTAAAAATACTTGTACTTTTTCAATAGTTCTCTCAAATACCATGAATGCATGTTTGTATACATACAGGTATTTGTTTGTCTGTTTGTTTGTTTAAGTGCCAAGAAGTGATTGAGAAGTCTCTGAGCACTGCTGTAGCTCTAGCAGATGATGTGGACTTCTGTTCCTTTTGTTTTGATACTTTTGGGAAAGGACTAATAAAGAAAGTGAAAACCAGCCCTGATGCCTTTGTGCAGCTTGCCCTGCAGCTCGCTCACTACCGGGTAAGAACAGATTGTTTCTGCCCCACAGAACCTCCTGAGGCTGGGTGTGATGTGTCTGTGGCTAAAACATGTCCCTGGGTAGGGTAATCTTGCTCTGCTTGTACAAGGTTGTTAAAGACATTCAGTGCAAAGGGATACAAACCCTAAGCAGATTACTAGCTGAAAATCAATTCTACAGTGGTTCACATATTGATACATTTCTGATTTTTTTTTCTTCTGCTTAATTGGTCTACCCCTAGGCATTTTAGACTAGAAGGAAGATATGAAACTTCTAGTAGCTGTGTTTATAGTCTAAACAATGTTAAATTTACCTTTTAGATTAGAGTCACACAGGATGCAGTAGTCATGGACATTCCCTAAGAGGATTAACAGAAATGCCTACCCGTATTTCTTCTGTTAGTTCTCCTTTCCTGTAATGTGCTGTCAGAAAAGACCAGTGTAGCAACATTCAGCTTCTCTTATAAACTGAAGAAGGTTGAATATGAAATGCAGAGAGTCATCCTTGCTAGTCTGGTTGTTCTGTTAGTGTTTATCAAATCCTGCTGCTAATCTTATTTTTGCCTTCATTATCTTTGGGTAAGTGGGCTAATAGTGGGCTACTGCAAACTTAAATGTTGAGTTTAATCTGTGGAGTGATTCATAGCCTGTGTGCTTAGCTTGGGCTGTTGATTAGGAAAGAGGGCCCAAGTCTATCTAAACCTTGAAGTTCTTATTTGTCCCTTTTTCAAGGACATGGGAAAGTTTTCCTTAACGTATGAAGCGTCCATGACGCGGCTGTTCCGAGAAGGCAGGACCGAAACGGTTCGTTCGTGCACAGTCGAGTCCTGTCGTTTCGTCCAAGCCATGGAAGACCCCACTGAGAGTGTAAGCTCATGGTGTTGGTGCCTTATACAATTGTGAGAGTGGGTTTGGATTGGGTTTTAGGAATAAATTCTTCACTGTGAGGGTGGTGAGGCACTGGGACATGTTGCCCAGAGAAGCTGTGGTTGCCCCATTCCTGACAGTGTTCAAGGCCAGGCTGGATGGAACCCTGAGCAACCTGGTCTCATGGAAGATGTCCCTGCCCATGGCAGGGAGGTTGGAATAAAATGATCTTAAAGGTCCCTTCCAACCCAGCCAACTTAGGATTCTGTGATAATTCATAAGGCACATGAGTTACCACTAGACAACCATGTAAGTCACCAAATAGTTTTTGAGCGTTTAGAGTGATGTGGTTTTTTTCAGAAGGAAGAGCTCCTTAAGGTAATTTTCCATGTTTTCTGTCAATAAAACAGAACTTCTGGGGCATACCAAAAAAAGAATAGCAGGACTTAACCAGATATACCCTTATTTACCTGCTTCTGAACTCCAGGAAACTATGATTATGTGTGAAAATTTTGTCTTGTAAAACTCAGACATAGATTTGTAGAACAACTAATCTCATACCAGTTAAGCTTTCCTTTCTGACAGGGAAGCAAGAATAATTAACAGGAAGGAAGTGGTTGCTCTTATATGTTGATTGTGATGACCAGCATTTATGGACCTCTGTACCTTCAGTGTTGGCAGTTTGCCTTCTAAAATATCCCTGGCAGTTTGTTTTCTTAAATCACGTTGAGATGTGCTCTCTGTAACTCTTTAATACCAGTATCTATAGAAGCTATAAATAACGTATGGAAGCTATAAATAACGTAGTAAACTTGAGTTGTAATCATGTTTGATTGTAGGGTTAGATAACACTTAAAACACAGATTAGTTTTCATTATGCAGTTTACAGCAGGTAGCAGCAGACACTTGCTAATACCTGAAATTAAACACATGAGGTTGAAAAGCCAGGGGATGTTATTTGAGATCAGTTGTCTTGTACTTGACCTTTAAGTGCTCAAGCTTGAGAGTCATTGCTGTAACTTAGTTTTTGCGCCTTCACCCTTAATGCAGCTCACTAAACTGAGTTTTCTTAATCTTTTTTCCTTTGCTAGAGAGAAAATACGCTGAAGTTCTTCCGGCAGGCAGCTGACAAGCATCAGCACTTGTATCGCCTCGCCATGACCGGGGCCGGCATCGACCGCCACCTCTTCTGCCTTTACGTCGTGTCCAAGTACCTCGCCGTGGATTCGCCTTTCCTCAAGGAGGTAGGTGACTTCTGTTGGTAACTCTTCATAATTAGTCCTTTGGTGAGTTAGTGTCTTGTGGTGTCTGCTCAAGATACTTGTACAGCTCTGGTTTTCCTAAGGGAAAATTGCTGCTAGTGCTGTTTAACATCTGCTGATAAATTGTTGCATTAGTTTCATTTTCCTTTGTTTTCCTTTATGTATGCATTTGTTGATAGACCTAGAAGAATGCTTTTGGTGAGCTTTTTAGCATAATACATGTTACTTAGAATTGCAGGAAATATATAGTCAGTGTTGAAAAGATTTTTTTGCTTTGTGTGTTTTCAAAGGAGTACAGCAGAAGCTGTGTGTTTTCTCTGAGAATTTTCTTGTGAAACTGGCAAATTCAAATCCTTTTAATTTACTAAGAGTTAAAGGAGCTGTATATGGCATTAATGTTGCTGTATATTACTCTGACAAATTAGTAATTTAAACTAAATTTTAAGGTTGGATTTTATAAAAGTAATTACACTGCACTTGTTCATTTTTTCTGGTTAATAAAAAATGTGTTCCACCTTGCCTCAAAATTAAGCTACTCACATTTGTGTGCTGGCTCTCCTAAATGTGGCTAAGTCAAGAATAAAAAAACTTCCTACATTTTCCACAAACTATCAAGATGTGTTGTTAGAGATTTTACAAGCTTCTATCTTGATGTAGGATCTTCCTGGGATTTGAATATGACTAAAAATGGTCTTGTTAAAACCAGACCTTTTGTGTGTAAGTTACAAGGCTGCAGACCAGATAATCTTGTTTGAAGTAGCATTTCTATTGAAATTCTATTTTATTCTCTTTGAGGAATTGACATCACTTCCTCATATGATAATGGTTTCCACATCAGGACAAGTTTAACTGTTTCATTAAGCTTTTAGCTTTTCATTCCATTGAAATGGGAATTGTCCTTAATGTTGCTTTATAAAGTGTTTTCTAACAGTTTATAAAGCAGTATTGCACTTGCTATCCTGACTGCTTTTTGACGAAGTTGCATGTTCTTAAACAGTGTTTTCTATTTGTTTGCATCTCCTTCATATCTAATAAAGGTTTTGTCAGAACCTTGGAGGCTGTCAACGAGCCAGACACCCCAGCAGCACATTGATCTGAAGAAGAACCCAGAGATGTTGTCCTCTGGTGGAGGGTTTGGACCGGTATGTTTCCTGAATACAAGTACCCACTAAATACGGGTTTTACACTCAAGACACCAGTCAAAAAAATTCAGATCTGTAATCCCTCACTGTTGCATATCAAAGGGGCAGCTCATGCTTTTAAATGTATGTATTTAATACTTTCCCATAATGTGGCTGTGCTCAGAAAAATCTGCATCACCTTTTGCTGGTATCCCACTACAAGAAGGGATTATTCTTAAGGAATTGCACAGTTATGAGATGTGGTACAGGGCTCCATGGCAAAGAGATCTGATGAAGTTTGGCTTCTTAGCACATTGCCTGTGCCTAGATCTTCTGTACATCAGGCTGTTATTACAGTGACGAATGCCTCATTACTTAAACTAGATTTTGAGGTTGGGATCTGTAAAAGTACTTGTACTTCACTTGTTCTTATATTTCCTGCTTGATGAATAAGTGGGTTCATACATTCCTCCAGGTTAAGCTGCTCACATTGTACTGCTTGCCCACCTAAGAGTGAATAATGGCCAAGTCAAGAATACAGCCATATTCTATGGCTTCTGTAAACTTTCAAGAAACCAGTGTTAGAGGTTTGACAAGCTGCTTATTTGCTGTGATTTTTTATTGGTATTTGAGCTTGACCATTGATGAGACTATTGGTGTCAACAAGACCTCTTAAGCAGCCTTTATGGGGCTATTATAATAGATTAATCTGTTTTCAAGAAGCATTTCTATTGAAGGAACAATGAGAGGTATCACAGGATTGCTCTTTGCCCCACAGAAATCTGGGTGACAAGTCCAGTGTATTTTGGCTGGTTGTCAAGCTGGAAGATGGGGCATGGGAGGTGGGGTGTGTTAAATTGTTGATATTTATTTACTCATGTTTCTGATTCAGCTTTCAGTAGTTTTGAAGTTGGAATGGATTTGACTTGCAGTATCAAGGAGGCCTAGCTATGGCTCATTTTTGAGATACTGACTTCCTCTAGCCATAATGAGATCAGTATTCTGAATGCTCAAAAGGCAATAGAAAAGGGTCTTGACTGCAGGAATTTCTAACACTGTTTTCCTTTTTTGTTTTTCTTTACAAAAACTGTGCTTTGGTTTGCTGGATTAGCCCAGAGATTCAGTACCTCAGCTTTCCATGCATGTGGTTTTTGTTTGTTCTAAAGGGTTTTTTAAGCATTCAGTAGAGTTTATCTCTGTAGCACTCACAGTGGGAAGAGTGAGAAGACTGTCAGACTGCTAAGCAGCAGTCACAGCAAGGACATGGAAGGTTTGTGATCCTTTGAGTTAGGCAGGACATGAAGAGGGGTGACATCAGGATAATCTGTGTTTACCAGGCACAGTTTGAATATAACATCAGTCTGAAACTTGGCACAGTTAATGCTACTAATGTTGAAATTGGACCAGACTTCTGCTCGTGATACAGGTGTTCAGAATCAGGTGTTTGCTGTAGAGTCAGAAGAAAACTTGCATTTGGCAAGGCTTTTGGTGATGCAAGGCTTTTACACTGTTTGTTTACATCTGCAGGATGACCCCAGGAGGCTGATGGTTTAGGTATACAACTGAACTAATTTATTCCTTGCTGCTTAAACACTGAAGCTGTATAGCAGCTTAGCACCAGGACTTCCTATTGCCTTTCTATTTCCAAATAATACCTGAATAAGCATTTAATTTCAAACTGTTAAAGCTGGGAAATATTGCAGACAAATATTCAGAAAGTGGTTATTCCAGGCACTTCAGATGAGACTAGAACTATTCCTTAAGTGGAGCCAATCTTCAGAAATTATGCATTAAATATAGAAGTTGAAATTTGACTCGAGGAAATTGCAACTGATTTTAAAAACTGTAACAATTTCTTAATTGTACATAACTTGATTGAGAATGAAGGAGAAAGAAAAAGTTCAGAAGGTATTTGTTTCTTCTTTCTCCCCTAGGTGGCTGATGATGGTTATGGTGTTTCTTACATGATCTTGGGTGAGAATTGCATCCATTTCCATGTCTCCAGCAAAATATCTTGTTCTGAGACGGTAAGAGTCAGTCCTTTCCTATGGTTTAATAGATCTGTTCTGCTGTGTGCTTATGGAACTGTTCTACTCATTGTCTAAAATATAAATAATGTCTTTTTTCTTTCTCAGTATATGCTGCTTTGTTGGAGTTTTTTGTCTCCAGCTGTATCAATTTAATAGTTTAATGAATCAAGGATACCATATTCTATTTCACTTACACTTTCAAGCATAAAGAAAACATGTGGCCCAGGATCATCTTTGCACATGTATAGTTCCCTGCAACTCATGTGCAATGATCACGTGTCCCCTGAACAGAAAGATGGGCATATCTTGGTTTTTCTTGTTACAGTTTTGGTTTGTCTCAGGCTGCAGCTGTAAAGACAGAAAAGACAGAGTAAAATGTATGCTGTCTATTTAAGCCTTCCTGGTTTAAATAATACTGAGCAAAGCTGACCCATAAATTGTAATCTGTGCTTAAGAAACATAACTAATCAAAAAATTTATTAAAATAACACCCATTATTAGAGGACAGTAGATGTCATACGTTGAATATGCTGCTGTTGTGGAGGACTGCTTTGAGTTCAATTCATCCTTCCACTTTATATTTTTATGGCCTTACTAAGTATGCTGAGTTCATTCAGGGTTACATAGCTGACCTAGTTTTCCTCTTTTGACCTTAACTTGTCCAGGAGATCATGGTGCTTCTGGTTAATCATTAAAGATTAGTACATACAACTTTGTTTTTTTCATAGTTGAAATTGTTCTTCAGATGCATGTTAGTTTGTACTTTAAATTTCACTCTGTTCTTTTTACTTATCAATCAAGTCAAAGGTCCATACAGAAAAGGCAGCCATTTTGTGTGTGTGGCCTTGATATTAATAGGGTCATTGTAGATCCTGTAATGTACCTAATAATTTACATTTGTAATCTTAATTTCTTTCTTGTACCGTTCATCTGATGCTTAGAATAAACAGAACAACTTCCTGTTTTGTTTACACTTAGAAAGTTTCATTTCCAATTCTTTTTTCAATGGCAAATGATTCAGCATTTCTGGTAGGAACTCGAATAAAAATAATTTTTCTGCTCTTTCAGTACTTCTTGGTCATTAGTCATCCACTCACTGAACACTCCTTTGTTTTCTGAAAATGAGCTGTTGCAAAATCTTGTGGGAAAAGCAATATCAAAACCAGCAGTTTTAAAAGTAGCAGAAAGCTATGCCTGCATCTGATTTCAAGAGGATATGATCTCATTTCTGACTGTAGGAAAGTAAATGCATAATGAACTCCTCATTGGTCAGTACTGCATAAACCTGGATTAATCTGTATAGTATTAAAAGTTCTGTTATTAAAATCCCCATTGTATGGTAAAATAGATGCTTGAATTCCAGAAGCTCAAAAACTACAAAATATTAAAAAGTTTCTTCTTTTGCCTGAAAAATATCTGTTGATGGACAGTACAAGTATTTGGTTTTGGTTTTTGTTTGTTTCTTTTTAAAGGATTCTCATCGCTTTGGAAAGAACATCGAGAAAGCAATGGTTGACATCATGGCTTTATTTAACCTCAGCAAAAACTGCACCAAGTGATCTGCTTTCTTGATGCCCAGCAATCTCCTCTTGGTGGGATGAGAACTCTGCTGCACAGTGAACAAGAGCAAGGTTTGTTGAAGAGTAGCTGGAGAAGAAACTGAGTCAGCACCTTCTTGATCACCTATTAAAACCTTAGCAGTATATTAAATGTGTCTTTTTTGTTGTGGTTTGTTTTGGGTTTTTTTTTTTTTTGTCAGTAGTATGGAAGAGCTTATTTCAACAAAGGATGACTTCTAAAATCTTCTGTGTTTCTAGAGAGGAAGCATAGTGTCATTGCATGAAGTCACGTATATTCTAACTTCTGCAGTTTTCTCTTAATTTGTATACACTTTCTCTGTTTCGGTTTTTTTTTTAACTTTAAATTTGTTTACTTGTTTCCAGAATCAAAGGGATAAAACACACAGACTTCAATACTAGAAAAAGCTAGATTTGCTGTGTATTAATAGCAGAATGTTCTTCAGTGTATCTGCTGCTTTATGCAAACGTGTGACAAAACTTGTGGCCATTTGCCTTCCTTGGTTTCTTTTTAGAGGTAAACTCTGTCAAACATACCAAAAAATCTTTGCTGTAACCCACCTTAACACGCTAAGTTGTAGAAATGTTGTGATTTTTGAAAGCAAAAAAAAAAAAGAAACCCAGCCATTGGATAGTACAATGTGTCCTCTCATTAGCAGGTATCACATTTTTCTTACTGCCTGCAAGCCTGTTCATGACATTGATTTTATTTCTGTATAAATAAATGGACCTGTGTGCTTGTTCATGCCAGTGCCTTAGAAAAACAAGATCCTTAGCCCAGGCAAAAGGCACATGCTGGGAGTTGTTTCAGTGGTGAAAGAGGGAAGGTTGTAGTAAGGCAGATCTGGTTTTCAAATTACACATTAGGATGAAGTGGCATAAGCAGACGTGAATATGTTGCCAAATGGTGCAGTCAGGTTTAAAATTCTAATGAAATGCTCCTGTCTGAAATAGCAAAGGTTGGTCCTTAGGAAGGGCAGGACAGACTTTGTTTGGGATTGACAGATATTCATGTGTTTGTTTTAGTGGGTGGAATTGGTGGTCACTTGGGTTTCTGGGTCCTGGGAAACGTTAATTGAGTTCCCAAGCTGTTGGGAAGCCTGCAAAGCCAGGCTGCCCGTGTGGGCTGATGGATTGCAGTCTGCCTGGAAGGACCACTGCTGCATTGCCAGCCACCTGCAGGAGAAGGGCAAGCTACTAAAGCCATGGGAAATAGCTCCAGAGTGGGAAAGTCATGGCCTTCTCAAACCTCTCCTGGGAGATGCTCTTGGTCAAGCAGTTTCTGAAGGATAGAGGGAGAGAGGGAGGGGAAGTTTTTTCACTCAGGAAGGAGCATGGTGTTTCTGAGTGCAGAAATAAAATGGCTGCTACCAAATGGAGCAACTTCTGCATGATGCTTCTCTTCCCCAGGCTTTATAGCTGTGGTACTTTTTTTACACCCTGCAGTGCAGTAAAGTGTACTTGTTAGCACAGCCGTTTTTGTTATTATAAATATTATTTTATATATGGTACATGATGGTTACTAATACAGTGAATGATGCTCCTGAGCTCTGCTGAGTTTAAAAGACCCTTGGGGTGGATATAAAACTTCTCATTAGACTTTGAATGTTTTCTGGCCAGTATTTCTAACTTTCTATGCCTCTTCATGCTTATTTTTACTCTGATCTAGCTATTCAAACACCTGTGTGTGTGTCCTTGGGGTGGGAGCCCTCAAAAATCCAAGATGCATACTTAAGTGACTGCATGCTAACATAAATGTGGGAATCCTCACAGGAGCTGATCCAAGACACTCATTATTTGATTAGGGTACAGTGTGTGGGAAAGGACACTTTGAAATAAGCCTTACTGCATCTGGCAGGCCTGGCACTTACCAAGCTACTGCAACAATTTTATAGTGATCTATTTTTGGAGCTGCAAAAATAATGCACTGGGGGTTTTGGGGGTTGTTTTTGGTGTTGGCTTTTTTTTTAATTGACCACTGACCAGTCTGTGTTTAAATTAACATATTAGCTTTTAGGATTTTCTTTAAACAAAAAAAAAGGTTTAGATTTGACTCTCAGGTCTTAAGTGTTTCTAGTCTAATTGTTGTTAGTGCAATTTTGCATTCTTGGAGAGTAAGTATGATTGGCACAGAAAGCTGTTTTTTATTGTAAATGTTTAAAATATTTTGTGGTGTTAAATGTATCTTTTTAAATTTTGGAATAGATATAGTTCCTGAGCAGATAATATTTTATTTCTTTTTCTTTAAAATGTCATCAGCATGTAAATAAAATATGCTTTTTGGATGTAAATCTTAGAAATCCACAGTGAATGTAGGTTATTAATAAATAATTTAAATCTTGATGTTCAATATTGTGTACATACAGTAAAACTGCTTGGGTTTTTTTGCTCAAAGCCATAGGAATGTAACTGAAATTACCTAGATTTGAATGAGCCTTCTAGTACAGTGTATTTTATTGTAAAGTTAAATGTTCATATTCCAGTAAAACTGCTAATTTGATACTAAAACTTTGAATCATTGATTCTCAATTAATTGTTTAGGAGATCAAATTTAGGGTTGAGGAGGTGGCTAAAAGCCAGGTTGGATGATAATAATTTTTTCTGTTTATGAAATGGCAGTGTGGAATTGGTGGAATATACTTGGAGTGAGCATTTTTCAAATTTATTATTTCAGCTATTTCATGGCAGAAGTTAGGCAAGCATGGAGTCCATTTACAGGGTGCCATTGTTAGGGATTAATACTCTTCCCAGCTGAATATTCTTTTAAGGCTTGAGGCTTTTGAGGGACTAGGGAAGTGTGTGCCTGACCTTGAAAATCATGGTTCTAATTCAACCTTTGTACCAATTGTTTTCTCATGTAAAATATATTAATTTAAGGTGGTGGATTTTTTTTAATCTTGTTTAGTTACTTTACATCTGTTGTTGGTTATTTACGTCCAACACTTTGTCTCTATTTTCTACTTTCTTCTGTGACTTCAAAAAACAAAATAAAATTTCACAATTGCCACTACTTTGAACAATGTTTAATATCTTTTGTATCTTCTTCCCAGCTCCCTTGCCGTAGGTGCTTGAAATTCAGGACTTGTGAAACCATTGCTGCTAAATCCAGTTAGGAGCAGCAGCAGTGAACTGTTCAGTTTATTTTTGCAGTGATTTAAACATGTCTTCTAGTTAATAGGGAATGTGTTAATGAACAATTAAAACTACAGGGAATTAAATCTCCCAGAAGAAGCTGAACATGTGGATTCAGCCTTGTCTGCCATCAAATTGTGTCCGCTTTCTTTTTTCTGTAGTGATGCCACATAAGAATTTCAGTGTTCAACTTCAAGCATTCTCCCTCCAGGAGGAACAGTCATACAGATAATAAAGATGTGATCAGGTGGAACAGTTGCTTTCTTGAAAGAAAGATAAGTTGAAGATAATGAAAGTTTGTTGGTCTCTGTACCAGGAGCTAAAAATTAAATTTAGAAAAATCTTTGTGACCAGCTCGCTTCCTTACAGTTTATCATCACACTATATATGAATGTCTCCTTCCTTTGCCCTTTTTCTTGAAGGTATTAGAGCGAAATTCTGATCAGGTTGAAAAAATTGTATTGAAATAAAACTGATTGCTTGTTTCTATGCTGCTTGCTTACCTTCCTAAACTGTTCTCTATGTAAGGAGGAAGCGCAGCACACACAGGTGGAGAGCAAATTGACAAGTTCAAACAAATTCCAGTTTGAAACTAGAAAACCCAGCTGTAGTTGGTTTCTGTCTTTGTTCCGTTTTCTGTGTAGTTGGTTTATTTTTGAAACACAAATATAGGTATTAAGTGTGATGCTATTATAGTTGTGAATGCATCTGAACCAGAACTGAACAGACAAATTATATTAAAAATATGTAATGATATCTGGTTATGCTGAACAGGCCACAGCATTTATATGCTTTGTTATGTTATGAAAATATATGTAACTTCCCATTTCAGCATCACTAAGTCATGGTTTTTGTTTGGTCATTTGGCTTTTTAAAAATGAATCATTTAATACCTAAAATTGTTATAAGTAAAATTTTCTTTTCTTCAGGTGTTCATATCATTCCTATCTCCAGTTGCAGGTAAGAATAAATGTTTTTGTTTCAAAGACATGAAACGCTCAAACTGTTTCCCTTAGCACATCTTTTACAAAAGAATAGTAATATTTCTTTCACAAGAATGTAATACTGCAGTGACATCAAAATCTTTTATTGATGCTACAAGGGAGTTCTTGGTTAAAACACTCATCTTTTTATGCACAAGGCATGCATTATTTTATGTACTAGAATTCCCTCAGTGATGTCTGTGGTTTACCTCACACTTGTGCTTCTGTGTATGATTAAACAGTAAGTATGCAGGCAAGGTTTTATGCTAATTGGAAGAATCTGTCCAACCACTGACTGTCTAAAATGGGGTTTATTCTAAGTGCCAGAGGGTAAGGGGTGCTTTCAAACACTATCTGATCTGTTCACAAATGAGAGGCAAAGAAAAATGTTGCTCTGTAGATTTCCTACATTGCGGAGCAAGGCACAATAGCATCTGGAATTTTTGCCTGTTTCTGGTCCTCAAGGCTCAAGTCTAATTGGCTCCTGTCTTTCCCTTGCACTTTCTGATTCCAGTTCAGGATAGTTAGGAAGGGATCTTCTCCTAAGGCCACCTGAACCCAAACTGCCAAGTGGGACTGCACCAAATAACCCTGGGCAGCTCATTGATTAACATTTCAGCTTTTTCCCATTTGCAGTGTATGTAAAAGACCAGGGCTGAGTATTCAAATCTGCCTCTAACATCAGCAGCCCCTGCCTCTGCAGGGATGTTCTTTACAACTTAATTATTCTCTTAAAATTCTTGATCAAATATAAAATTCTTATTTAAATATAAATTCCGAGGTATGTGCAAGATGAGTTACAGAAATTTGGGCTTTTCATGAAAGATGTTTCTGAAAGGTACTGTAATTAGAAAACAGGATTTTTAAGGTTGTCTGTTCAGGGGTCAAAGTGTGTACTGAGAGCAGCAAGGCTCACTCTAGAAGTGTGACTTTTGGGAAGATGACACTGTAACTGTAGAATCATAGAACATGCTGAGTTGGAAGGGACCCATCAGGATCATCCAGTCCAACTCCTGGCCCAGCACAGGACACCCCAAGGATCCCACCCTGTGCCTGAGAGCGTTTTCCAAACACTTCTTGAGCTCTGTCTGGTTTGGTGCTGTGGCCACTTCCCTGGAGAGCCTGTTCCAGTGCCCAGCCACCTCTAGGTAAAAAATCTTTTTCTAATATCCAACCTAGACCCGCTGTAACACAACTTCAGGCCATTCCCTCGGGTCCTGGCACTGGTCACCAGAGAGAAGAGACCTGTACCTGCCTCTCCCCTTCAGGAGAAAATTGCAGACTGCAATGAGGTCTCCCCTCAGTCTCCTGTTCTCCAGGCTGAACAGACCTAGTGACCTCAGCTGCTCCTGGCACGGCTTCCCCTCAAGGCCCTTCACCATCCCTATGGCCCTCCTTTGGACACTCTCTAATAACTTCATGTCATTTTTATATTGTGGCACCCAAAACTGCCCCCAGCACTGGAGACGAGGCTGCTCCAATGCAGAGCAGAGTGGGACAATCCCCTCCCTTGCCAGGCTGTCCCTGATGCCCCCAGGACAGGGTTGGCCCTCCTGGCTGCTGACTCAGATTTAATTTCCCTTAATGAGTTGGTGGATTGGCAAGGTAGTTGAAAGATTGGTTTCCTGTGAGTGCAGGTGGCACCACACCTGTGATGAAGTGCCACAGCACGCAGTTGCTCATTTTGGAACAATGATTTGTGGTACAGCTGAATTTGTAGTCAGTTTCAGATGATTATTTCTTACTTAGACTAAATCCCACTTATCCTGTCAATTTATGTAGTTCAAATTTAAGTCATTTTTTACATACTTGGTTGTGACTATTGCCTAACTTCTTCAGGGCCATTTAGAAATAAGAGAATGCTTCTTGGTGTTGAAAACACTGAATGCCAGTGTTACTATGAAGTATGTTACTGTTCATTGTCATTCTTTAGGAATATTTTTACTTGAATTACAAGCAAAAATCATTCTGCCATTGATAAATTGACTATTCACAGTGTTACACTTGAATACAATCCATGCTTTTAAAAACCTTATTTATGCAGGAAAATTATAAAATTTATTGTCTTTGTTTGGGATTTAAAGTAGGTTTTAAAGCACACCCGTTAAGATTTAAAACTTCATATTCCTGGCTGAAGTAAGAGAGACAGTCAGTATTGTTACTGAGACAGCAATTCTTCAGAGTACAAATGTTTACAAGTCTGGCTGCAAGTTATTAGCATTGCACAGTGTAGCAGAGGAAGCCAGATGTTCACACAGAACTCATTCCAGCCCTGTGGTAATTATATGCTGTAACTGATAGCAAAATTATATGCTAGAGAAAATTGGCTCATTTGTACTGTGCTAGCATGGGAAGTCACACTTAGTAAGTGCCGTACCAAGAATAATAAGGTAGTTCCTTGAACTTGCAATAAGTTTTGTCTAGCTATGCTTCTGCATATGTATGTGTGTGTGTATATATATATATAGTGCTATTTTGTATATATAAAACATATTACTTTCTATTCAACAGCTGTTTAACAAACAAACAGAAAAATCTATGTGAAGATTTCTTTATCCTGGGGAAAGCTCTTGATTTATCAACCACAACTAAATAAATGAAATGAAGTGTTACAATGGCATGTTAAGGAGCTATAGTTTCAGATCTTAATAGGTGCTTCCAGAAATCAAGGGGGGGAAAGCAAACATCTTAATGCACCGTGATCCATTTGTTTTTAGAGGTTCCAGCTGTAATTATAAAGCTTTAGGTAGTACTCATAGGAAAATCTTTATGTGCTTGGAATTACATCTCATTAGATTTAAACTAATCATCAGTTTTTCATTCCAGGTTATCCACCAGTTGGAAGTAGGTACTCAAATACAGTTCATACAAACAGTTGTGGCACACAGAAGCTAAAATTAGTTAATCTAATTCCTGATTATCACAACCGAAATATTTATCTTCGGTCAGGTACGATAAAAACAAAAATTGTCTCCAGATATTTTGATGTTATATAGGTACAAATGTATATATTTGTCTAGATAATATACTGTCAACTAGTGTATCATAAATTGTTCATTTGCAACTGCTTGTGTTTGTGTTCTTAAGCAGCAACAGGGCAGATGAGCCAAAGGTAATGGAGACACCACCACTTATTATTTTCATTTATTTTTTAGCTGAAAAATTGCTAGGCACTCCAGGGACATAAGAGTAATAGATATGTTAAAATTATTTGAAGTTTTAATATAGATTACTTTCCATATAAATCACTTTTAGCACAAGCCCCTGAATAATTCTGCATTTACCCCCGTTTGCCACCAAGGGACACTGTTTCTCTATAAATGAGAAGCCTTGAGGGCTACGGGATTTTCTTCAGTGATGGGATTTGGAATGTCTCAGTAATATTTAGATAATTATGTGAACTTGAAATGCCGGGAAGTTGTTAAAAAAACCCTGGGTTTTGCTGTCCTAAAGTTAGTGCTGTTTAGATGGAGAACACGTTTTCATTTAAGCAGCAACAAAATATTTGAATTTCAGTTTTAATGTACAGAAGTATTTCTTTACCTAAATATAGCTTGCTCAAAATATTTTCACATGCTTTCTTTCATTATTTATTATTATAATTTTATATCGTCTTTAATTTTGATAGAAGTTGAAACACAAAGCCTTTTCACATTGAGCCCCGTACCAGCACAGATGCTGCTCTCAGCAGCAGCAGGGGCTGGGAGTGGAAATCTCTCAGCAAATGCTCCAGGTGTGGAACCTGTTTGCTTTTATTTGCCAGAAGCCATCAGAAGGGTAAAACACACACTCAAGTTAAAGGTAGTGCTCCCCTTTCAAATTCCAATTGTCATTTATTTGCTGTAATGGCAGGGAAGAAGACCCTGATGGGGGGCATGCTGGAATATGTTCTTTA